TTGCAGTATCTTTACTGCCTTTTATCTGCTGTGCTTCCTGTAATTCGTCAGATCCATTATGTACAGTGCTCCGAGATTGAATTGGAGAAAAGGTTGCGGGGTAAGACAGTTGGACGTTTCAGTGGCATTTCAAGTTAGACAGTTTTTCTTATGATTTATTATCCTTAAAGATTGCTCCATTTCTTTTCTGCAGGACCTGACATAGATCTTCCCAGGGTTAAATTGAGTGCAGATGAGCAAATGTGCTGGTAACTTACTACTCTTTGTAAGTTATATCCTTTGATTGAGAAATAAAATTCATGACATGTCATGACTACCGTTCACCATCTTCTGAGATACCGGCCTCTGCATCCTTGCTTTGCTGATTGTCGATTTATGTATTGAATTTCCTCTGTATAGAACTTGGCATTCTTTATTTCCTTTTGTGCAAAGGCAAGATTCTTTTGATGTTCAATAGGTTATTTTTGGTTCGATTCACGCAGTGATCAGTGATAGGAACAAATTTATTCTTCATTTTTGAAGATTTAGCTGGTGGTTTACTGGATGTGTTTCCCTGCAGCAATATTTGTAGGATTCCTGTTGTTGATTACCACAGGCACTGCACAAATTGCACGTTTGATATGTGTCTTCACTGCTGTCACGATCTTCGTGAAGCATCCAGAGACAGAGTTCAAGAAATGTCAGCCAATGATCAGATTGGTGGGAGTACTGGGGACAAAAAATCTGTAGATTATGTAAAAGGACCCAAAGTAAGATTAAAGTTTACAGATAATTTTCCTGATTGGAGAGCTGGCAGTGATGATAGTATTCCATGCCCCCCTAAGAAGTACGGTGGCTGTAATTATCCTTCTCTAAATCTAACGCGCATTTTCAAGATGAACTGGGTTGCAAAGCTTGTTAAAAATGTGGAGGAATTGGTCAGTGGCTGCATAGTTAATGATTCTGCTGATCAGCAAAATGATGGGTCAGGCCAGTCCAATTTCGGCCAGGAAGTTTCCATTCCTATAAAGGAGAGTAAAAAGGACGGCTTGTATTGCCCCACCTCTCATGATATTAGAGCACAAGGGATCAGCGAGTTCAGAAAACACTGGTTTAAGGGTGAACCTGTCCTTGTTAAGCAGGTTTGGCATTATTCATGCATTTCAAGCTGGGATCCTGTTCTCATCCGGAGGGGGATCCAGGATATAGCTGATGAGAAAATGAAATATGAGAACAAAAGGGTGAGGGCTGTAGACTGCTTGAACTGTTCAGAGGTAAGCTCTTGATGTTGATATGACATTCATTTTCTTATGTACTAAAATATTTCAGATAAAGATATAAAACCAGAAAATTCTCTTGGTGGAAGTGTCATAAGTATCTATACTGATCGTCGTGCCCGCAATGCAACAGATTGATATTGATCTTGATCAATTTATCAAGGGATACTCGGAGGGACATATTATCGAGCATGGATTGCCAAAAATGTTGAAATTGAAGGATTGGCCTTCTCCTGGTGCTTCTGAAGAATTTTTATTGTACCAGAGAACAGAATTTATTAGCAAACTGCCTTTGCTTGAATACATTCATTCTAAGTGGGGAATTCTTAACCTGGCAGCGAAAGTGCCTCATTACTCCCTGCAAAATGATGTAGGCCCTAAAATTTATATTTCTTATGGGACTAAAGAGGAACTTGGTGAAGGTGATTCAGTGACCAACCTGCATTTCAACATGCGTGACCTGGTAAATTTCTATTAATAGCCTCTGGGAGCTATATTATCTAATATCTACTACCTTATTGTCTGTTTGGGCCTTTTCAATTTGTTCGAATGAGATTCTTTTTCATGGTTAACATGATCCGGGCTACCTTGGATATAGCCCAGAAATGTGGTTATTGGTTACTATATTGGAATGTCTACCTTTACACTGTGTTTGGCAAGTTTAAATTTTCTTATAATAGTCCTCTACATGTTATGTTGTGATGAGTAAGTTGAAAAAGTTGAAAATAACTTTTACCTGACTATTGAGGTAAATTCAGGTATATCTGCTGGCACATACATGTGAAATGAAGTGTAAGAGTTGGGATAAGACAAAATTAGAGAAAAATTGGAGGTCAACTGGGCAATCTATCCAGAAACAGATGCATGGAAATCCAGATTCAGGTGCGGAAGGAAGACATGTACCTGATCTACATGCCCAGGGATACGATATTCTAGAAGATCATGGTGCCCAATTGGGTGCAAATGCCGACAAGAGAATGGAGAATCAAGAGATGGAAATGCCCTCTTCGGCGGAAGAGAAAAATGCCAATCTAGAATTCTTGAATAGAGATGATGAAGGTGGCTGTGGTGATAATCCTTCTGGCGTTCATTGGGACATATTCCGGAGGCAGGATGTTCCCAAATTAATAAACTATTTGCAGAAACATTTGAAGGAGTTGGGGAGGCCAGGGAGTTTAGATGATATAGTGAGTTTCTCTCTTAGTGCTCCCTTTTCTTCAATATCAGAAGGCAAAATACAGATAAACAACAAATCGCCGACACAAGTTCCAAATTCCGTTCTTATTCTTTTTTCATACATTATTTTGTTCTTGAAATTTTTTTATTCACAGTTGTTTGTTACATCTACCTGTTCTGCATATAATCGACTGGTTTGGTTTCAGGGGACCTATCCTCTTTTTGATGAAGTGATATTCCTCGATGCGCGACACATGAGAAAATTGAGGGAAGAGTTCGGTAAGGGCTTGGCTGTCCTCCTTCATTTCACGCTCTTTTAAAGTTTAAAACAAAGTGAGCTTATTCGTTTATCCAGTTCAATAAAATTTTAAAAAGGAAAATGAATGATGTGAGCAACACTTTTTGTTCTGCTTTATGCAGTTCCTGAGCCAATCTGTTAACTTATGAGTGGTACTGTGGGAGAGGATTTTATTAGTTTAATAGATTGTGTTACTTTTAGAATTTGGTATAGTTTACGAGCAAATTCGACTTTTCAAGCCTGACAAAAATGCTGCAATGTTTTCAAAAGTACTGTGTGTTGACTGTCCATGGGTCCCTACAGTTAATGACAGGTTTAGTCTGATAAGAAGCTTCACATTTGAACCAGCCTCCAGAATATGATTGCTCAAATCATTGTCTACTTTGTATACTTACTGAGTTCTCTGAGTTGCACATCTTAAGTCAAAGAAAATCCTTTTTGTCCTTCCTCAGGAGTGGAGCCTTGCTCATTCGTACAGCGTCTAGGACAAGCCGTATTTATCCCGGCTGGATGCCCTTTCCAGCTGAGAAATCTCCAGGCAAGTTTCTTTGTTGATCATATTTCTAGTTTTATAGCTCACCTGCAAGCTTTACGAGATCAATTTTTTCATTAGTAAACATCAGTTTCAATAAATATTTGAACTATTTCATCCAAATATCTTGGATAACTTTTGAATCACTTAAGTAAGCTATAATTGAGAAAACCCTGGTAGTTACACCTGCTATAAATTAGTAGAAGCAACCACGACAATCATGGTTTGATGTCTCTGTTTTGACAACTTATTTTCTGCTTCTCAAGTGAAACTTTATTTCACAAGGTTCTTTCAATGGAAACAGGCACAGAATGCCCTTTGATCCACGGAGAACCATGTCGTCTATATGGCTTTATTCAGAAGACGAGGGGATTATAATAATTTGTTATTTGATTTCGCTTACGTAAAAGATATATGGAGCAATTAATCATCGACTTAAAGTGTTTATTTTGCTTCATGTTCCGTGTTGTGTTGGCAATTGATCTTCTGCTTATCGTTGAACAGTGTCTCTGTGATCTTGAAAATATCTGTTGTGAACATCTGTGTGCTCACTGGCCACATATGGATCTCATTTGGAGATAACCCCATCATAATATGTTCTGTGAATTGTCTTCAATCCATGGAGCAATCACTTGAAAATACATTTTCACCTTTTCAAGATGAAGATAATTAATTAAAGTACTGACTAAAAGATCAGATCGTTCTCGAGTCTATGTTGTGGTATGCATATCCTAACATCTCATTGGAATTTTTTTTTTTGTCGGACATTGGACTTTACTTGCACCAATTTGTAACCATTCTTTCTTTTTACCTTTCAGTCTAATGTACAACTGGGCCTTGATTTCTTGTCTCCTGAAAGCTTGGGAGAAGCTCTTAGACTAGCTGAAGAAATTCGCTGTCTTCCAAATGATCATGAAGCGAAACTTCAGATTCTGGAGGTCAGCGTAACAAAAGTTTTACCTAGATTATAATGTGTCTTACAATTGTAATTGTTGCTCGGATCTTACATGTGATGTGGTTCTTTCTGCAGGTTGGAAAAATATCGTTATATGCGGCAAGTTCAGCTATCAAAGAAGTCCAAAAGTTGGTTCTTGATCCAAAGTAAGCAAACTGATCCATTTTTATTATGTGTGACCGGGAAAGAGAAATCCTGATCTTGTCTGTGGATTGTAGTCCTTGGCATGAGCTTCCTTTTCCTTGAGTCAAATTTTGGGATTGAGTGGCCAATCTTAATAATGCTGCTTCTGAAGTGATTGGCGTAAAACTTTCCAACAATTTCCTTAAGACTTCTTAAGTAGTTATCCTTATTTTCCATAATGGCCGCTGTATGCTTCTTATATGACTGTCAAGAGTAAATTTCTTATGATTCCTATATTCTCTCGCGTCAGATTCGGGGCAGAGCTTGGGTTTGAGGATCCTAATCTTACATCAGAGGTGTCAGCAAACTTGGAGAGGCTAACTAAACGAAAGCAGATCGCGTGTTCTTAAATCTTGTACAGCACTTGTAGTTTGTACAGATGATCATATTTTGGCATTTAAAGGGGAGCTAGTTTCGGCTTGGTTATATTGTATCATATGTATTTTAATGGCGGCAGGAATTATTTGCTTGTTTGTAGATGCTAAACAAGCTTCTTTTCCATGGATTGGAGTACATGTCAATTTAGATGTATACGCATTTGTGTCTTCAGAAAGTGCGTTTTCCATCAGCGATTGCTTTATGTTACTGATAGACTCTGTATAAGTAAGCAACTAAGACTTAAAGGGCCATATGTTCCCAAGGTTTTTGGGGTTTTAGAAATGGTTTGGGCTCAATTACATCTTCTAGTCCCAAAATTCTCTCTGTCTCAAGAAGTCAGTACAAAAGACTCAGCAATGGTGTATAAGTCCGATTTCACCTCCGGCCATGCTAATTCCGGCGCTTGAGCATTCAGAGTGTATAATTTGCCCTGTCGAGTGCAGCAGACAGCAATGTTATGCCGTTGGAATGAGGGGCTCTCGACTCTAAACTCGAGCTCGTAATACTTGACCATCTTGGACGGATCCTCTCGCAATGTCGATTTGACCAAGCTTCCTTTCACGTCGGGACGGCGACTCGATCCCACGATAGTCTGAACTATGGCCTCTCCTACCTCTTCTGGTCCTCCGAATGATTCAATTCTGGTTAAGAAGAAAACAGTGAGAATAGTCGTTCAATTCTGGTTAAGAAGAAAACAGTGAGAATCGTCTATAATTTCTAACGGGCAATGCTGATGTGAGGAGGCTACGCTCAGGTCTACTGTGATCAGAGTGATGAAAAGAGGACTTACGAGAAATTGAGCGGAACCTTAGACACAATGACGCTAACATTAAGCTCGCCGTTGGTGCCAGGAGGGCCGAATGCTACCGTTGGCTCATTTACGTTTTGGCGTCGCCTATTCAAGGGAGGTGGATCAAGTCCTCTCTCAAGCTCTGCCTTTCCAACGGCTCTGTATAACAGTGTCTGATCCCCAACCCAATTTGCTGGGTAAATGAACTCTGTTCATACACAGAAAACTGTCTTCAACTGATCAGTGATCGCTTCGACTTTTCTCGTGTCTTTTAACTGAAGATGCTACTTCCCTGAATGTCTATCTAGCTATCATTCAGAGAGAGAGAGAGAGAGAGAGAGAGAGAGAGAGAGAGAGAGAGAGAGGGAGAGAGAGAGAGAGAGAGTGATGAACAATTATTCTTTAACCAAGAACCAGGAAGCAAAAACTTATGCAGCAACCTTGAAGCTAGTTCAGACTAGTGGGAGGTTGGGTGCACTCAGCACTTTGCACAGGAGTGAACTTCTGGCCTGACCAAAAGCTTTACCCGAACAAAAACCATCATCAAGAAGGCAAGTTCTTAATATCTGAATCGAAGAGCCTTCTTTAAGTGAACTTCTTTTCTCAGGTGAAGCGGATCGAGAACCCGGTGCACCCACCTGGGGCTCCTCAAGAAGGCCAAGGAGCTCTCCCATTCTCCGTGATGCGGACATCGGCTTCTTCATTTTCTTCCCCCCATGGCAAGCTCACAGAAGGTGACCTGCCGGTGCGCCGGGCTCTTGATCCGCTTCATCTGAACCTTCCACGAGCTGTGCATTCACCGAAAAAGAATTTACCTAAGCAGCTGTTTGATTCAGATATCAACAACTTGGCTTGTCAATGCTGGTTTTCGTTCGGGTAAAGCCTTTGGCCAAGAAGGGGTGATCAATCTCCCACCAGTCTGAACTGGCTTCGAGGTTGCTGCAGAGCTTTTGCTCCTAGTTCTCTGTCAAAGTGAGAATCGATGCTCTCCCGCACCTCTCTCTCCTGGTTATTGGTTAAAGTGAGAATATCTCTCCACCTTTACACATCACTTCCTTTTCTTTTTTTTTGGTCCCAGCCATTGACTCCTTCCCAAAGACGATATTATGAGGCCAAAGGATGTATGTTCTGCTTTGTGAGAAGAGATTAGAGCCTATGACTACCAAAAATGCTGCAAGTTCATGGTAACTTACTAACCAAATCCTTCATTAGTGTCAATGCATCGACTATACCCTTTGATGGGATAGAGCACGTCCAACTTCACATCCCGGCCGGTCTCCGGCAACAGCCCGAGAATCGAGCTCGTAATTCCAGCAAAATTAGCGCCGAGAGCCACGAGAGAGGCCGAACCAACGCCGATGAGGATCCTCCTCCTGAACGTCAATGCCAGGGGCGCGAATTGCTCGGCCGGAGATCTCCTGGGCCGCATCGACGCATCCCTGAAACTCTCTTCTGGGTCGTCGTTGGATCGCGCCATCGTGTGAATCCGACGGAGAGATTGGAATCTGCATCCCATGTGGTAATGTGAGTTCAACATTGAGCTCTTTGCCGTCTTTAAGTGTGCCAGAATGATGGGGTTACAGACAAATACACGGTACAACATAGGTTTAGGTGATGCCGCGCATGGAGTGTGATTTTCAGAGGAAACCATTCCGTAGGTTCTCTGATTCGATAAGCTTATCTAGTTTTGGTGGTCCATAATTTCTCTCAGGGACTAGAAAAAGATGCACGCTTGCTGCACGTGAATCTAACTACTACCTCTAAGAAATGTTTTATGTAGTAGGCCCTGAATGAGCAGCGCTTCTTCATTGCGTGGAGGGTTCTGTCCTTCCCCATCCTCTTGAGAACTCGCCAGATGAATCAGCCTCAGGGATGGCTTTTCCTGCAACCCCTTAAGTACTCACCTCAGTTGACATCTCTGTGTATTCCAATAATTTCGGACCGGACGGACGGAGGAGGAAGGGAAGCCGATCCAAAGTACAGGAACATGGTCCAGGTTGCAGAGTGGAGAAATCCCTCTGTTCTGAGCCATTGAGTTTGAGGTGTGGTTGGAAACTCGGAGCCTTCCTAAGACCACATCTGCCTTAGCCATCGCCTCTTTGACTCTTCCGCGGGGATTCATCACTTGGCCTAAATAACAAACTTCAAGCCTTCCCACGAAATTCCTCAATGCAACTGACTCACTCACATCGGCGCCATTCCAGATCGCTCTAGTGAACGTGAACAAACTGGCTAGAACAATAGAGAGCGAAAGACGAGATTCGAATCATATGAGGTGCTTTAAGGATGAGAATGAGAACGAGGAGCGAGGAAAAACAATGGTTTGGAGCTTTGAAGAAGAAAAAGAATGGAAAAGCCATCAGCCCAGGTTACACACTGATCAAAAGTATGGAAGATTAACAAACAAAAATCAGAATTAACCAGGCAAGCTAGCCTTAATTGAGTGAGAAAAATCATTGATATTTCAGCATATCTCGTGTTACATGGTGAAGAGTCTATACACAGCTCAGAGAGGTCCCCTTTAAAACATAGTGTTCAATGACTATCCAAGCACATTCTCCTCCTAACATCCATACAACAGAGAATCCTTCCTCTAACAACACTCCTAATTCTTTGCTCAATCAAATCGACATTGACAGAGGAGGAGGAGGAGGAGGAGGAGGAGGAGGAGGAGGAGGAGGAGTCACGTAAACATGGATTCCCAGTAGCCCAGATGGCATATATGAAGGCATTCCAGGTCAAGTTGAAGAGTAAACATGGAAAAGAGACTTTGCCTTGAAGGTAGAGACAGCCCAAGCCACCTCATTGTTCCAGGCACCAGGATTTTGATGAACAAAATGCAATTCTAAAACAGGAGTCCAGACGCTGACTGAAACAGGTCAGTCTTCTGCCACTTCAAGATTCTAACCTTGGTTGCAAAGCCTATTCAGCATAGTTGGGAAATCATGAAGGAGAAATAAGAGAACAATATCAATTTGAAAAAGAAGAGAGAGGATAACTAATGTCAAGGGCTCAAAATATTTGTCAAAGCTATAATGGTATTTGACTTCAGAAATTGAAAATTAAGGTGATGAAAACCACGTTTAATCACTCTTCTTTTTTCTTTTTAGTTTTTCTATTTCTATGCAGGAAATATATTTTTAAGTGGGTATTACCAACCGACCCAAAAAAAAAAGTGGGTATTACCATATTTATTGAAGGCACTATATTTTCTATTATTATTTTTAAATTTTACTTTCTGTACATATTAGCTTTGTTGAATAGAGAAATCTCCAAGAAATTTATTTCTTTTCCACTTTGAGGCAATTTATGGATCTCTTGTCAAGTAAATTCCACAGAAATTTGAACATAAACAACTTTTTAATACAATCAAATGTTTATTAACTTTATTTTTGTTGTGCAGAATCACCATTAAATTATTTCTTATCGGTTGTCTTTATATACATTAAATGAGATGACTGGATGCAACAAAAAAGCCCTCCTTGAATATTTACCAAAATAAAATCACAATTACATTCCTCAATGCTCAAATTTAAGAGATAAAATTTAATTAAATCAAACCTTTGCATGAAATGAGAAAATTTTTTAAATTGACATTTATTTTAGATTGACAAAAACTAGTATCATTCATGTGTGTTTACGAATAAAAAAGTAACTAAATCGAAAGAAACTGTGCAACATGGAAAACAGTTAAAGGCAATATTGTCTAACTGGCGAAAAAGAGTGGATTTAATCATATGGGAGTGGAAATATCCCCATACATTTAAATTTATATATTGTTGAATTGGCTAAATTCATTAAGTGAGTCATCGAATAACGAATGCTTCGCATATCCAGTCTCTCTTGAATTAGTCGACTAAATTGTCTTAAAGTTGTCTAGACAAAAGGTAAACCGATTTTGGAACTTTCCATTTTCACTAGCTCTTTTCATACACTCTTACAATAAGAATTTACGATGATTATAAAAAAAGTTTCAGATACTCCCAAAAAAGGGGTTTTCGGAGGAAATGCAATACATAAATATTACATATATATGTACATATTAATCCCTATCATGACTATGTAATAGCGATTACTTCATGACGCCGCATATAATTGCTATTATATCAATTATAACATCTCAACATAAAATAATATCACATTGATGCGTTAATTGTTAACGAATTAATGGGATACTATATGTAATTTAGGAAGTTTAACGACTTAGAAATAATAACATGTTATGGATTATTTTATGTTAATGACATATTAACAACATACTATGTAATCATTTACTATGCATAGTATAGCACTTAGCAGTTATTAGTTAGTTCTTTTACCAAAGGTTATTGATTAGTTAAATTGATCAATTATAATGATAACAGCTAAAATGATCTAATATTGGTAACATTAATTGCAATCGTAAATTATTGGAGAGTATGGCCATTTTGCACATTTATTCTAGATTTCTTTAATATTATAGTAGCAAATAAGGTAAAGTACTAACTATTATAGCTACATTTTATAATAACTATTATACTCTATTAACCTGAACCAAACTTGTAGTAAAGCTTTGATAAAGTTCTTTAGTGTACCTTACTAATTTGTGGGATGTATTACCAACTCCCTGTTCTATGACTTATTCACCTTTTACTCAAGTTAATCCAACTTTTAGACATACTTTTTTTTTTTACAAATACCTTGTTCACCCTTGATAGGGCCTAATTCCTTAAAAAGCACCAACTTTATCATGGATCATGATTCTGGCCCAAACCTTTTTTTTGTGTTATAAAATAGCAACTTTAGGTTGGATCCCAATTTTGGCCCCAATTTTTTGTTGTTTTATAAAAAAACATACAAACTTTTTGTCATTACCCAAATCTAGCCCCCATCAAGTTTCATCTAATGATGTCGTTAAAGATTTGATGTGTCATTCAATGTGTACACGGTGGAAACTTGATGGAAGTTCGACAGAGGCTAGACTTGGATACCAACTAAAAGTTTGTGCTTTTTCATGAGATAAAAAAAGTTGGGACCAAAATTGGGACATGAGCTAAATTTATCATTTTTTTATGAGATAAACAATTTTGGGCCAGAATTATGACCGGAGATAGAGTTGATGCTTTTTTATGAGACAAAAAAAATTCGGGCTAGAATTAAAAGTTCAGTTAAAGTTAAAGTTGATACTTTTTAAAGGAATGAGGCCCCCTTGATAGAGGCAAACCACTTAGTTTTTGACGATCTTGTTGGGACAGGATCTGCACATTACCTGTGGATCTATCAATAGGTGCTTCACCGATAAAACGCGTGTTAGTAGCTTTTGATCATTTTGTCATCCTCCAAAATTATAAGGAGCTTTCTAATATGGGCATGGGACCTCGGTGCCCGAGTCCCTCGAGGCCAGAACAAGGTCCCCATCATCTAGGCTTAGGACCCCGATTACCACGCTTGGGTCTCCCAAGGTTGGGCTTGTATCTGCGGCGCACGGGCTTGGGACCTCAGCATTCGTGCTCAGGTCCCAAGTCGCTGTGCCCAAGCCCCCAGAGACCGCGCGCCTTGGCGGACCAGACCGATGTATTTGGCTCTCATATGGCTAGGCTTAGGACCCTTGTGCTCATACCCAAAATTGTGATAGTTAGGCCTACGTACCACAATCTTGTACCCGCGCTTGGGTCCCCCGAGGCCGAGACAGGGACCCTTGCCTCCCACTCCAGGGACCCCCTTGACTAGGCTTGGGTCCCTTGAGGACGGGCTCAGGTTCCCAAGGATGAGCCTAGGCTCGAGACCTTGCCATCCTGGTCCGGGTCCTCAATGCTCGTGCCTAGAACCTCGATGCCTGAATCTGAGGTTGTTCTCGAGATTTTTGTTTTTTTAACGTGTTTTCATTATTTTCCTATCGCGTTGTTTGCAAGATATAGCTAAACACAGAAAAAATTATTTTCCTTGAAAATAAGTTATTTTGGTAATGTTCTCCAGCAAAATTCATTCTTTATGAAATAAACAAAGCCTAAAAAATCTTGGAATATTCCTGCAATGAAGATATAAATCTAAGAAGAATATGGAGAATTAGGCATTCTCTCAGGCCTATTATCACCAGTATAACCAAGAAACGAATGTGAGTGATCATTGAAATTAAATTGTATACTGACCTTTCTTAAAAGTAGAAAATTCTCAAAAGCCTCACTATTTTGCACGACAATCTGAATTTAGGATGAATTATTATATGATGGATAGGGAAGACAAAAAGATCTCTAATTAATTGCATAAACATTGACACAATTGTTCTAATTAAACCTCCCACATAGGTTTCTCCAGTGTGTTCTGTGGTTGAAACTGACTCATAAACCCTTTCAAATGCATCTCCCTCTGACCTTCATGCAAGTTCCCGGCCGATCTCGTCCCTCCGATCCCCAGGAAATCAACTGTCGTGGTCTTTCCATGGTCAACCTCCACACTCTTCAAGAAGTCATGACTATTCTGACCTAACAACCCACTAAAAACACCCTCCCTATCACTACCACTATTCACATTATTCATGAATTGCTCACTAATCTCTTCTTGTCCCTTCTCCATGAACCGGTTCACAAAGCCTCCATTGTGCTGAGCTTGCTTCTGCAACATTCCCCCGAACGACGACGGAGCCATCGCCGCGGAGACAAAGGTCGTCGCGCTATTGTTACTCACGGTTGCACCCATTTGAGCCGCCTTTTGCAATAATGCCGTTGCTGACATGAATGCCGAGCCGCTTTGCGGGCTATTCATCCCGTGGATCATGGTGGGAGATATCGGCGGCGGGGCGACAGTCCTTGCGTTGGCGGTGCCGAAGAGGTTGTTGCCGGAGAACAAGGTTTGAGGCATCATCAAAGGTTTCGACGAAGGAAGGATGATCCCTTGCGGGAGAGAGAATAACTGGGGTTTCGTGTCGACATGGTTGGCGAACTCAGGCGCTTCAGTGGAGGGATTGGTGTTACTTTGAGCTTGGCGTAGAGGGACTGAAGAAGAAGAAGAGAGATTATTAGGTTGTTGGCCTACTGAGGTAGGTAGGTGTGGAGCTAGGGCTTGGTTTAGCTTGGTGTTTTCTTCGGTCAGGGCATCACAGAAGGCTCTGTGGGTGATGAAGCTATCTCTCCTGCAAAATATAAATAAATGGCAACATGAAGATTAGTTAATTACAAAATTCTAACAAAGGAGAAGAGATAATTACGTACCAAGAAGCTAAAACCATTTGGATGTTAGACGAATGACATACGTGTTGAAGGAATTTAGATTATCAAACCTTTCCGAGAATAGTTTCTAGCTTCAATCATATCATTATATCATCTAAAAGCCAATTAATGTATGAAGAGTGCGACAAAACACAACAAATCATAACCTAGAACACAACCTCGTAACTATGCTAAGATTTATGAAGAAAAGCTTCATTCCATGTAGGCAAGCATTATGAATGAGCACACGAGTGAATTCACTTAACGTTATCTCTTCGAGAGAGCTTTCTTTTTGACCATGCAAGGATGTCTACCTGCTTCGTCTGGGCCTGTAAATGTGGAAAGACTCAACCTTTCTCTATCGTTTTCGTCAAAACGTTGAAAAGTTTCATTAACTGCGAAAATAGCTGCATGTTGACGTTCTTTCTTTTCGTCGCACTTGGGTGGATAGGATTGAATAAATCCGTTCTTTATCCTGTCATGACAGATAACTAACTAGGCCCACTAGAGAGAGAGAGAGAGAGAGGGCGTATTAGCAAATTATTTTAATCTAAATGAGTCGTGACGATCTTTGGACGGCTTTGACTTTGGACTTTCGTTACAGAGCGTTCAATGTTGATGGCACCCTCGGTCTCCCTCAGACTTAAACTAAATATCTGCAATTGTCTACTCTCGGTCAATATAAAACACCCCAGACATCAAGATTCATTTCAGGAAAGATGTTGGCTTTGGGAGGATCAAGAACGCGTCAGAAGCAATAGAAGCATCGCCCGAATAACGTCCTTAATTTATGCATGAACTAAGTTCGCACAAGGCATGGCTCTAGCTATAATTCTACATGATATCAAGGTGGAAGGTTTTGGATGACTCTGCAGGCTATTCCCCTATGTTAGCACAATTAATATCGTGTTTGCGAAAGCAAGAAATAGCAAAATCTCGTGATTTGCGACCCATATACATGCTTTCAAGTTCTTGTGTCTATACGGAATCTCAATCCATGCACGGGAGTAGGTAAAATGCTCGAATTTAAAAACATGGTCAGAACGACCATTTAAGAATTTAGGAAAAGTCAATAAAGGGCGGATATATTTTAAACTATATCTAGCAATTTGACTTGTCTACAATTGCTTGAATATGGTGCATGCACATTTCCCCCCAACCAGGCTTCTGATTGGTAGATTGTAAATTTGAACATAAATAAATATTTATTCTTAGGTAAATTTGCATGTGAAGAAATATAATTCAATTTTAAATTACATCTAGCATCCTAAGCTAGCCAGCTCGTGTAAATCAAGAAATATTACATGTCCAGAAAGACCACCCTTATGCATTTGCCCCATCAACTAGACAGTGAGTTGAAAGAACAAACCAATGATTGAATAAGTCAAATTTAAATAGATGGAGACATATAGTTAGGGGACAAACCTGGAGAATATAGTGCCACAGTCACATTTGTATTCCCTAGTCCCACAAGTCTTGGAATGAGCCTTCCAATCCGATTGAACTGCATACTTCTTGGAGCACCTCTCGCACTTCCACTTCTTCTCCCCATGCTTCCTGCAGAAGTGCTTCTTGATCCCCGTCAGGTCGCCGAGAGCTCGGGCAGGGTTGTGGTGCACGCAGCTCGGCTCGGGGCACACGTAGACCCGCTTCCGGATCTCGGCACTCCCTCTCTGCTTGAGCTTCCATGGGAGGTTGTGGCCTCGCCGGTGGAGCTGCAGGTTCTGGTCCCTCTGGAAGCCCTTGTTGCATATCTCGCACACGAAACGGTTCGTCGCCATGAGCGTGGTCGGGGATAGAGCAATGACTTCTGCGCTTGGGTCTGCATTCAAGAAAAAAAACAGTTTTTGAGTCAAGTCCTTTATGTTTTCCCAATGTCGATGGGTTTCAGGGGGATCATTTTGCATGGTAATGTATTTTGACATAAAGCCATTATTGCGCACGGCCTGATTGCTTTTCATTGCCAAATGATTCAAATCTCTTTTGGTAGGATTTACTGTTGATTGGACAAGTGTGATCAGGAAAAGGTGAAAAAGGTGTTATGATGCCAATTATGTTCATAATCAGTGGTCGTCCACTCACATATTTTATTAATAAAAAAAATTCAAATTTTTTTTTGCTACAGCAGCATATAATATTGTCACATTTTGTGTCTAATGTTTCATGTGCATGGCTCCAATATAAAACTAGGGTCACAACTAGAAACCAAAGTAAGTGGATCTTATGAGCTCAAGTACTAATTTATAGAAACATCATCCATAATGATAGAACAAATTAAGATTAATTATATAAATACGTCCACAAATTAGTATTAAACAAATTGTTATTCCATTGACAGAAAAAAAATGATTCTCTTACCTGATACAGCTAGAAACAAAAACAAAGGATAAAAAAAAGGAGATTGATAGAAAAAATGCAGGCCCAACAGTTTACTACAATGATTGGAATACTGAGCCAATAATGGAGGCTCCTCCTCCACAACTTTCACTCACCAATAATTCTTTCATTTCTGGAACCCATTTTAGCCATGGAGGAGCTAGTAAAGTTCTCCTAAAAAAGGAAATATTTCATGATAAATAAGTGTCTTTAAATTTATTTTGGGCTGCCTTTACTTCCATCCCTCTTGATCTATGTCCCCTCATATTATATATATATATATATTGGATTTAAGGGGTGACTACAAAGTAGCTTGCTTGTACATATTGCTTTTATAGACTCAAAACTCAAATTAGTTTTCCTAAACTTGAACCCAAAAGCTTGAATACTTACCACAGATATTAGATCCAATTGTCACCCAACAACATAAATTTAAGTTCTTGACACAAGCATGAGATATAACATGCAATTTTATCAGCTCAACCCAAGAACAAACATACTCTAATCAACAGGAGTTGAATCATATGTAGCTAGCGAGCTAGCTGCTATTCTTCTTCAAGAAGAAAAGAGCAAGTTCAACAGTATGGGTCCAAGCAGAAAGAAGATCCATCTAATGAATCTGAAAATGAATAACTTCAACTGCATGAGATGAATCTCTAAATTAACAACAAGGATATCTATTTGATTTAACCTGGATTTCCTGGTAAGCTTCTTTTCTTCTTAGCTTGTGGAGCTTGCTGCTGTGGCCTCTCATCATGAGTACTTGCGGAGAGACTATCATTATTGGCTGATGCTGATGATAACAATGAATTATTAGCACCAAAGAGGTGATTCAGAAGCTCCTGTGGTTGAACTTCAGCTTCGCCAGTATTGCCTGAAGAGAAGCTCCCACCTTCACCTGTGATATTTGACATCTTGAAGAAGACAAAGATGAAAAGGGATAAAAGGGTGGCCAAGAAAAAGATTAAAATTGCTTATTTTCAGCGATTTTGTTTTTGTCTCTCTCCTCTCTCTCTCTCTCTCTCTCTCTCTCTCTCTCTCTCTCTCTCTCTCTCTCTCTACCTTCCAAACTCTCTTGGTTTCTTTCTTCCTCTCTTTCTCCCTTTCTTGCCTTTCTTTTCTTGTTTTTTGCCTCACTTTGGTGCTATCTTGTTCTCACCTCTCAAAAGGGACCGATCCTCAGAGAAAAAGGGATAGAAGGAGAGGAAAAAGATAAAATGGAGAATAACAACAGAGAAATCCGGGGATTTGTTGTGACTAGAGGAAGACAAAGACCATGGAATTCTCCTTCATTTCTGGTGGAGATGAGAAACTCTTTGATTGCCTTGGCACCAGAAGAACACAACAAGATGGAGTTTCCTTAACTCAGTTTAATATTCATATATATCATGTCAAGGGTGACAGCTGCATGTTTTGTCCCCAAATTGCCCCTATGCTTCCGCCCTTTTTTTTTTTGGGTCCTTTTCAAATCATATAAGGGAGGAGCTGCCCTTTCTATGAACTCTAGTGAAATGAAAAGGTACCTGTGGGACATAAATTGAAAACTTCATAAGCTGGTTCAAATTTGAATCTTTTGGCTTATTATGGATTTGATTCTATCTGATGGATCTTGTTTAGCTGGTTTGAGTTGTTCTCATTTGTACTGAAAGACAAGACACAACACGTAAGTGTGTGGAAAAAAATGGGAAAAAGTTATAATTAAAAGAGGAGAAAGTGTGATTTTGGATTTTATTTAAAATAAATGAATGTTAGAATGTGAAATATTTAGTTTGAGTTTATAATCCATGAAGGACATAAGGAGGAGGGTATGATTGTTTTATGTTAACCCTTCCAAATTGCCATTTCATCTATTGTTTACCAATTTGTGATTGTTACATACAAATTTGAACATCATTGAAGTTGTTTAGGGCTTCGACGGATGAGAGTACATTATTGGAGGAAACTTCCTTTTTATCTTCTTCTCCTTTACCTAAAAAAGGAAAAAAAAAGATAGGGAAATTTCCAAGTTCTTGAACTAGATCGAGTTAACTATATTGTGAAATATGTGGTGTATTCTTGGCCACTAATTATATTTGATATATGAAGTACCGAAAAATCACATTCAAGAAAAAAAAAAGGCGTGCATCCTCTGCAGGATTCACCAATTTCAATCGATATTATCCGAATTTCATACAAAAAAAATAAAAAAGAAAGACAACACCGACCTAGAACGTCGGACTTCTTTATCTTAAGCATAACCAAATCCCCTTACACTTGTGGTTTTTGTATTGATCAAATCTTCTCGCAATTAAATGAATAATCATGTCCATGACCCATATAATGCCTCCTTAATTTTTTTAATTCATAAATTTTTTGGTGCCCATGGCAAATCCAAGGGCTTAAGTTAGGTACATCGATTTTTTCTCTTTTTTTGATTTGACTCCAATAATTCTCTAATTATTTTCAAAGATTGCTGGCGGACGAGGGCTTCTTCCGCCCTGACCTTTGTCCGCTTGTGCGGCGATATTTTTCTTTAATCACAGCAGCTTTTGTCCCCAAAATGCCCCTCGCGATGGACCGGATTTACCGGGAGTGGCATTCGAGAACCAGCCGCCGTGAAGCGGGGAATGACGGGAATGCCCCTCCATGGGGTCACGGGTGGGTCACCGGGGGCCGGGACGCCCTGTCTCGAAAAGGACTAGACAGAGGGAAATCGAATTCTTCTATTCACGTGCACTGCTTGGGGTACACAGCAGCATGTACCAAGGGGGGGCACAGAAATCAAATTAGTGTTAAGTGTTAGAAAGAAAAATGAAAATCGATAATCGAATTTGGAGCGAATCGAACGAACCGAGTTGAATAAGATGAATTCGTTTCGGTTGATCTACTTGATCGATTTGGTTCTGTCCGGTTCGGTCCAATTTTGATTTATCGGCAGAGCCACATCTCGTTCTACAGTTAATTTTGCTCGGCGAGAATAACGTTGCAAACCTCTGTCAATTTTCTAAAATGTTTTTTGGGTTTCTCCTAGAATGTCTAGAATCCAAGATCCTATTAGCCAAGAGCTCAAGAGCACAAGTTTTTGAAGTACACAATCCGGCGCCGTCACGTTATCCTCTCGTTCACTTCAGAAAGTCTTCACCGACACCGACACATTGTCTTTTTCTTTATTTACACGTTACATTATGAATCTATTCATAAGGTTTTTTAATGAATTTTTTGTTGTTGAAAGTTGGATTTGATATTAAACTAGTGAGAATTTACCTTCGGACATGGTTTGTGTAATGACTGCGGGCTTGACAGTAACATTAAGTTCATCGGAACGGATCGGGAGGGAAGAGAAACATTCTGCAATTGCAATCGTGTTTGGATGACTGGAAAGAAACCGTGGGAAAAAGGATTGTGAGGGATCGAGCAGGATTGGTCTGCTCAATTTAATGTACATTTTAAATCCCCGGAGAGATCCGGAGCGACGTGAAGGGATTTGCGTACTAATAAACAAATCCACTTTTCTTTCTTATATACTTATATGACATTCATTTACAAAGTACTTAAAAAATGATTTATGTCATAATATATCATTTCCATTCTTTTCCTTGCTGGCATCCAAACTCCACATGGAAATAAAAACTCAGACAAACATTACTTTTATACATCACAATATAGGATAATACCATATGGTGGACTTTTTAGTCTCGACATTCTCCTTATAATATATATGTAAATCTGTGTCCCAGGTTGTGAATTTCTTACTACCAAGGCGGAGACCCACTTTAATAAACTCCTAAATTTGAGCAACATTCTTTTTAAAAGACTATGACCAGGTATCATGTTGAATATTCTGGCCTGCAATATGGACACAGTTTGCTGACTGAACTTTTCAAAAAGCATCATCCAAAAGAACCCTATTTTCTTTTCTTTTTTGTATACAAGTCCTTTTTCCTTTTTCACCATTTTAGTTGAGTCTACCAGTCACGACCAAACAGCCTCGAATTTAAGAAATGTAGAGGAGAAGTTGACCATATGTCCACCATCGTAGAACCAAGCAAAAGATAAATTTGCATTCTTTCTGGCAAAGCTTCACATCAACGCTCATGGTTTTCATTATTTTGATAAATTACTCAACTAATATTGCTAATACGTCATCTAAATCTCTACACAGTGTGTGCATATATACTTATATATTGTAGTGAAGAAATATATTTATATAGGGTCCAGTTGGGGCCCGTTTGATAACTTGCCAAACAGTGAAAATTTCTGTTCTTTTGTTCCTATAATCAGTTATGGAACAGAAATTTGTTTGGTAAACTTTTTGTTCCTGGGCACAAATTTGCAAAAAATTGTTTCCAAAGTTAGTTTTTGAACAGAATCAAGAAGCAAAAAAAAGTAGCTTCTTGATTCTGGAAACAAGAATCAGAATTGGAAAAGAAATTATTATTTTTTTCTTCTTCTTCTTTCCCGTTCTTTCTGTTCTTCTTCTTCTTCATTCTTTTTGCCTGGCCGGCCACCGGCGACATAGGCGACGGCCGGGTCGGCCGGCCACCGACGAGGGTCTGTGAGGGCAGCCCTCGAGGCTCGCGGCCTAGGCGAGGGCCGCCCTCGAGGCTCGCGGCCTAGGCAAGGGCCGCCCTCACCGGATCTGGCGAGAGTTGGATTTTCGCCTCCGCCCTAGTCGGATTTGGCAAGGGGGGCCCTCACCTAGGCTACGAACCTCGAGGACGGCCCTCGCCGGCTCGGGCGAGGGCTGGAAAAGGCTAGCGAGGGCGACACTCGCCCAGGCCGCGAGGGTCCAACCCTCGCCCTTGCCGGCGAGGGCCGCGACGCCCTCGCCAGCCATGGCCAAGAAGGAGGAGAAGAAAAAAAGAAAAGAAAAAAAAGAAAAAAGAAAGAAAGAAATATTAAAATATTTAAAAATATTATTAATAAAAAGAAATTTTGTGCCGTTACCAAACGCATTTCTGTTCTTTTTCTATTCCGGGAATGGAAATTTTGAGCCGTTACCAAACGCTTTCAAATACTCAGAATCAGTTTTCGAGCACAGAATAAAAACAATCATTTCTGAGCAGAATCAGTTTCCGGGCACAGAATCGTTGCCATTCGCACCCTTGATATACTCAATTCCAAGCATCTCTGACTAGTGTAGGCATCATTTACTTAATTACCTAATAATATCCTCACCAATGCCCTCGGACATCCATTACATCGCGGACCGAATCACTTTTGCCTAAATCACTTCATTAACTTCATTCGCCGCTGCTAATTAACTTAATCTTTGCTCAAATTCATGATCTTTACTGCCTCACATGCACCGTCTCCAAACTTGTGAGAGTGAATGTCGCAATAGGGAACAGGTGTCTGTTTCTTCATGCTGTAAGATTCAATTATTATATACATGTAGTTGAAACATGAGTTTCATGTGTTGTCGCATTCCAAGTCGTGTTGAGGCGAGTGCTGCCGCTGGAAAAGCTTTTCGGAAGCATCGGGGTAGTTTCTTGATGGAACAGTATCGCTAGATCTGTTCCAAGTACAATCGGGCACTTTCTTGCAGAAAGACAACAAAGATATACGTTGCAATTCAAAGAAGCTTTTGAATTCAGGATGCAGGAGCTCATGGAAAGACAAAGTTCTCTTTTCTTCTTTCATTTGTTCTTTGGTTTCTTCCATGAACATTTCTTGCTATCTTACCTAACCATTTTTGGTCGTGTTAATTAATCTATATCAACCAACACAACTGCTAATCAGCTCAAGTTCGATGGCTTGTAAAGGACTGAACGCGCATATATTAGGTTTTGTGGTTGGGCCAGTGGAGGTTTATCAAGTCATAAACAAAAGGGTTTTGTGTCCAAGAAGACTTTGTAGTGCATGCATTTCATGTCACCAACGACTCCTCCCCCAAATTTTTTAATGCAGCTTCTCTTGTCTCTTTCCCAAGACAAGAGTCAGCAAGCTGTGAGAGATCAATCAACTGTCTTGATAGATAAGGACACCATTTGGAAGAGAGAGAGAGAGAGAGAGAGAGAGAGAGAGAGAGAGAGAGAGAGAGAGAGAGAGAGAGAGAGAGAGAGAGACAGAGAGAGACCGACCTTGACCCCTCTACGAAAACCCAAATAGTAAAGGAGGGAAAAGATGGGGATGAGAGCATAGTGGAGCTCCAATTTGGCCATGAACTATAGCTTAGATAAATAAAATAATTAAGAGGAAATACTTCGTGGGTCGTTGTCAATCAAGTTCAGAGCACTAAGGATTAAATATAGTAAAAAAAAAAAAAGGAGCGACAAACTTCAATGTAATGAATCCATAGCAATCAATACAATAGAGGCCGACCAATCAAGATATTCACCCTTCATTTTGGACATCATAGCATATCTATGGTT